GGGAATTAGAAGATGCTCCCACAGTAGGCCGAGTCGGGGGAACAACTCGAGCCCAAAAAAGTGCCCATCTGATAACAATTCTACTTCACACCAAGGAGGGACCGGAAAAAATTATCGCCCTTACTCCTTATATCCTATCTGAAGTCCCAGCTTTACTGGGAAGAGACGCCTTTGCTCTTCTAAATGCCAGAGTGACAAATTTATCCTAGGGGCCACTGCTGTACACCCGTTTCCTCCTATTAAGCTGACGTGGAAGTCAACCGACCCAGTATGGGTTGAGCAGTGGCCCCTATCTCAGCCTCGAATGGATGCCCTCCTAAAGTTAGTCGACCGCGAGTTGCAACAAGAGCATATAGAGCCCTCTACTAGCCCATGGAACACTCCAATCTTTGTGATACATAAGCAGTCAGGTGAAGGATTTCGTCTCCTTCACGACCTGCGTGAAGTAAATAAGAAAATTCAGCCAATGGGCGCAGTCCAGACACTGTTACCTATGAGTTCCATGACACCCAAAGGACAGCCTTGTGCTACCCTCGACATCAAGGACTGCTTCTTTTCTATACCACTGCATGAAGGAGACAAAGAAAAATTTACCTTTTCGCTGGTGTTCCCAAATAATCAGCAGCCCAACTTACGTTTTCAGTGGAAAGTACTACCCCAAGGGATGCTCAATTCACCCACTATCTGTCAGATCGTAATCGATCGGGCTTTGGAACCAATTCGGCATAATAACCCGGCCACAACTATCATTCAATACATGGATGATATCCTGATAGCTGCACCATCCGGAGATCAGGTAGACCGGCTAATTTTAACAATCTCACACACCCTGAAAGCGAACGGATTAGAAATTGCAGATTCAAAAATAAAAAAAGGGCCTTGTATAACCTTCCTTGGAGTAGGAATCACAGGTTCCTACATAACTCCTCCCCAAATAAAAATTCATAGGGACATTAAGACTCTCCCTGACGCACAGCAGCTGGTAGGGTCCTTGCAGTGGTTCCGTAATGTCATCCTAATTCCTCCTGAAATCATGACTCTCTTGTACGATCTGTTAAAAGGGAAACATCCCTGGGAACAGAAAGAATTAACAGCCAAGGCAACAGATTCCCTTAACTTTATCTAGCAGCAGGTATCCACGGGCACACTAGCAAAGTGGAATCCAGACGTGCCACTCGACCTGTATGTACACTTTACAACAGAAGGGGGGGTAGGGGCACTCACCCAAGGGTCACCAGAAAAGGCACAGCCAGTGTTGTGGGTAGTCCCAGGAAAGCTGTCATGTGCATTTTCCCCAGGAATCGAGTGTATCAGTAATCTCATTATGAAAGGCAGAAAGCTCACACTGAGGCATTTAGGTACTGAACCTGCTAAAATATATTTGCCCCTTCGTAAACAGCTTCCAACAAAGTCAATAGCTCTGTCAGAACCCCTGGCCATAGCCTTAGCCGGGTTCAATGGAGAGATCCAGTATGCCACTAAACCTCCCTGGACCCAGTTGTTAACCATTGTCGACATCGATCTTCCACAGAAGGTTATGGACCGGCCCCAACCGGGACCGACAGTTTTCACAGATGCATCCTCTGTGACCTCCACGGCCGCAGTGGTGTGGCAGTCAGAAAATGAGTGGCATTGCGTAAAAACGACCGATAATGCACTCTCGGTCCAGCAGCTAGAAGTAATGGCTGTTGTGCTGGCTTGCAGGCTGTTTTTAACAGAGCACCTTAATATAGTGACTGATTCAATGTTTGTCACCAAACTGTGCCTAGCCATGTCACAGCCCGGTGTACCAACCTCTAGAGCAGCCCTGATGTTGGAAGAAGCCCTTGCTTCCCGAAAAGGCACCATATCGGTCATTCATGTCAACAGCCACGACCCAATCAAAGGTTTCTTTCAGATCGGTAATCACAGAGCAGATGCTGCTGCAAAAGGGTTGTGGACGTTGAGAGATGCTCATCAGCTACACGAATCTCTCCATATTGGGGCTAAAGCGCTAGTTAAAGAATGTAAAATCACATATGCAGATGCAAAGCATATCGTGGCCACGTGCCCCCACTGTCAAAAAACGCCACTCTGGTCCAGTGGAGTGAATCCCAGAGGCCTTAAAGCCTCTGAAATATGGCAATCAGGTTTCCACTCTGCTAGCTCTTAAAGCCCCAACCCTGGCTGGCAGTGACCGTAGATACATACAGCGGAGTAATCGTAGCCACCCAACATGCCAAAACAGATTCCAAAGCAACCATCCGGCATTGGCTAACAGCGATGGCATGGCTCGGGGTCCCCAATCAGATCAAAATGGACAACGGTCCAAACTTCACATCCAAATCAGTTCAGGCATTCGCACAGAAATGGGACATTACACTGACACATGGCATTCCATATAACAGCACAGGGCAAGCCATAGTTGAGCGAGCAAATCAAACCCTAAAATCTAAAATAGAGATATTGGCAAAAGCGGAAGGCTTTACCAATGCTATTCCCCTGAAAGATCAAGCACGGTTACTGGCAACCGCCTTGCTGGCTCTAAATCAGTTTCTCAGAGGGGAAGAAACAAACAGTCCAGTCCAAAAACACTGGGCCACTCGTGCATTAGAAGATGGCCCACCAGTCATAATCAGAAACGAACTGGGAGTTTGGGAACGGGGGTGGAAAATAGTCCTTGCAGGGCGACGGTATGCTGCAGTTAAGAAAGAGGGTGAAGTTAAATGGTGTCCATTTAGAACTACCAAACCAGACTTGCAGAATAAAACTAATGAAAACTGAGAGCTTTTACTTGCAGGATTGGGTCATCGGATGCCCTCAGAACCAGTACAGCCCAGTGCCAGAGGAAGACGACACACCGACCAACACCCCGCCCAACCCTGCGGACTCGGCGCAGACGAAAGCCAGACAGCATCGAGACAGCCACCGTGAGAGAAAGCAGCAATGTCTTTACAGGGAATCACAGAACTGGTTCACGTCACTGTTCGATCAAGTACCATGGCTCACCACCTTACTGTCCTCTCTTATCGGTCCAATAGCAATACTCCTCTTAGCACTGATTTTCGGGCCCTGCATTTTTAACAAGCTCGTGTCCTTTGTTGAGAACTGTCTTAAATCCATCAATATCATGGTGGTTGAACAGCGGCAAATGCTGTAGATAATGCCTTAAACCAAAGTAGTTCCACATAGTTTTGCACTGACTCACAATTCTATACCTCAGTGTTAAGACACTTCTCTCTACCTCTCTAGGCTTCCTTTAAGCCACTTGTTGAGCCTTAAAAACTTTAGACCTCTGTGACCTCTATGACAGTATTTCGCACTTCTTAGATTATAGCCTGCTTTATATGGCATGGAGAGGGGGGAAATGTGGGTAGACAGGGCCTGGCGTTTGGAAGATTTCGGGATGTACGGAAAGAAAGGGACCAACCCCCTCCAATGCCTGATAGCCAATAGTAGTTAGGAGATAACGTAAGCAGACAATGTAAGTGACAATGTAACTAAACCTTATAAAAGGTCATGTTACAAGCTAATAAACGCCATTTTACCATCCACCACATTGGTGTCTGTGCGTTAATGGTCCAAGTGACTAAGAAGTAGTCACCGTGCCCTTTCTGAACCAAGTCGTCAGGCAACAGCTTTCCTCCATGCAAGGCTCCCTGAGCATTGTGAAATAGCATTTCAAAGGCTATTCTTCTGCCATTGTATCA